TAGGATTTGTAAAAAAATTAAATGGGGGGGGGGGTCATGGGTGATGAGACATACTATTTTAAATGCTCAAGGTACAGTAGATGATGCTGAGTTAATGTTAATAATGTTCTGTTATGTATGTGGCTAGGACAGAGATAGACAACACCAAAGCATACTGTATGACGTTCACAACACGTGAACACGTTACAGTGTTGTTACACCTGGTTTCAACAAGTATCATGCAAACTATATCTGCTTAAGTTGGTTGCAAACAACAATGGTAAAAAGCTAACCCTAGGGTTGTGAACATTCTAAATACACAGACAAACAGTGGAGAAGCAGACTATGTTATAGGAGTGGTTTTGACATTATGATACCTAGTATTGCTGTGACTCTGGGTTGTGGAATGCATTGTACCTGTTGTTAAGGCAAGCAGACTGCAACTACTGCCCTCCACAAAAGAGCAAGCTATAATCCTTTCAGAGTGATGTTCAGCTTTAAAGGCACTGAATGTGTGATACTGAAAAGACACAGTTTTCAATGGATGAAGTTACACCAATCAGCTATTGCATTATGGCCACTGACAGGTGAAGTGAATAACAATGATTATCTCATTACAATAGCACCTGTCAGAGTGTGGGGTATATTAGGAAGAAAGTGAACATTCGGTTCTTGAAGTTGATGTGTTGGAAGTGGAAAACATTGGCAGGCCTAAGGATCTGAAAGACTTTGACAAGGTCCAAACTGTGATGGCTGGGTGATTGGGTCAGAGCATCTCCCACACTGCAGGTCTTGTTGGGTGTTCTTGGTCTGCAGTGGTTAGTACCTGCCAACAGTGTCTAAGGAAGGACAAACAGTGAACTGGCAACAAGGCTCACTGATGATGAGATGGACTTCCTGTAGATTAAACTTTGACATTTCATTCATCCTTTTCAAAAGTTTCCATTTTGTTAGAATCTTTGTTAAAATGGTTGAACATGAGAAATACTGAACATTGGTCTCTATGAAGAGAAACATTCAGAAGCTACAGTGGTGATATCACACCTAGAGTGGTCGAGGCTGTTGAATTTGTCTAAACAATTATCTCTAACTTGACTTCACAAGCACAGTTTTCACTCCTTTTACTAAATTTTTCACTGAATGGCAGACAAATCTGTGCTCTTCCTGACAGTATAACTATGGAGGCAAACAGATTAACAGAACATGTACAGAGAGCTGCAGAGTGACACAACTGGGAAACCTTAGGCACATGTATTTGCCAATCTCTCTGCCTGTATGAACAAACAGTGTGCCATTATGTTTTCTAGAAAAGAAGTTCCACTCCTTTCAGCCTCAGACACAATTCGCAAATGGAATTAAACTCTTCTGTTTATTTGGGAAATCAACTGGATTGAAATTTCCTTTTCCATTTTTGCATCTTGCTTGTGCTAAAAATACATATTATTCTTGACAACATGGTAGAACCTTTTATAGTACAAATGTCTTGCTGCTGAACAACACAAAAGTGGAACTGCAGAGCTCTAAATCCAAACACTTTGTAAATACAGAACCAAAGATGTTGATGCTCAAAATTTGATTAGGCTTTGCCATATAATGCTGATCCGCAGTTTGATCTGCTAGTGTCTAAGACTTATGTACACGAATTCAATAAAGGAGAAAACATACTTGCACATCAGAAAGAACACTCACTAACAAGTCTGTATTCTTTGAGAGAGCTGTAGAATATCCAGGGAGGATTAGAGGTATTATCATTCAAGGGGAATGCAAGGAATATTGCATAGAAGACAGGAAAGGCAAAAGGAAAATATGGTAGACAATTATCTTATAACTCAATGCAAGTGTATCATCAGAATTGTATCATGTAACAATAAGATGAAACCCTATACAGAGAGTACAACTGAGAAAGGAGTGACAAAGTAAGAGGTTGAGTTAAAATGTTAATCTGGTCTCGACCTTTAGAACATAAGGGGCTGAGAGAAGCAGCCGCACAGCTACACATACATACACACATGCCTGCTGCACTCTCTGGGTCCCTAATTACGTTAACCCACCTCTCAAATAAATGAATATGTGACCATAGATAGATGTCTGGCCCTGTAAGCTGGAGAGATGGGTTGGAGCAGGAGGGAGAGAGAAAATGATGAAAAGTAAAAAGAAAAGAAGGGAAGAAGAAACAGATGGTGGATGGAAAAAGAGTGAAAACAGAGACTTTGAGAAGGAGAGCCAAGAGGCAGAGAGGACCTCACTTCGTTCATTAATGATAAGAGCAACTATAGGTCAGCAACATGACACACTCTTGAGCAGGAGCATGCGTGCTGTAGTGCAGACTGTGCTTATATAGATGGGGCACGCACGCACACACACACACACACACACACACACACACACTAGACTCTTCATCTACTTCTCACCCAACTCCCCACTTTTCTGTGATGCTTTCCTCAGTTTTCACCCAACCTCATCTCTACCCTCTCTCCTGCCTTGGTGAATTTATATCCTTCACCTGTCTCTTTTTCCCCTCACTCCCTTCCCTCTATTTTCTTTCATACTTTCCTTTTGATCTCTCTATTTTCTTTGCCACTGTAACTCTGCCCAATCCTTTCAACTCCTTTTTATGACCTACAGATGCAAAACTAAAAAAGATTGTACCTTTGAGGCTGTAGCTCCTGCACTCTGGGACCTGAAGTACTACCCAGCTTAGGATCTTTGGACCCCTTTGATAGAGAAACTCACAATTCGCTTGCTTATTCTTATATAGTGTCTCTAGCTGGAGCCGTATCAACAGCTGTTAATGTTTATCGAAGCTCATACAATTTACACAGTCTTCTTTGTAATTTTTGATTTGTCCTTCATTTTCTTTGTCCTTGATTTAACTGCTTCCTCACCTCCTTCCCCCTTCCCATTCCTCATCATGTAATATTCCTTTACCTTCTCTGTCACTCTTTCTCCTAACCTTCTCAAAACCTGTCCTCATCTCTCCATTTTCCTCATGTCCTCCCTCCCGGTCAACTTCTCCCCTCCTGTCCTTCTGTCCTCCTCCCACTTATTCCGGCATACCCAGTGTCACTGTTCAGATAATTATTTATTAACGTGTTTATTTCACCACCGTCCCGGTCTGTCTGTCGTTGCCATCTGTGCCCAGTTAGGTGTCCGCCTCCTTGTGTCGTACTGCCCTGCCCGCGGGGGGACAGATCACAGACTCCTACACAAACACATCCAGACTCTCTCTTTCACTGTCCTCCTTTATTAAACACACAAACTCACACACGCACCTTCTGCTGACAGCCACCAACACTCCCCTCTGCTGCCCCTGGGGCTAGGTGGGGTTAGCCAGAATGAGAGGCACACAGCAGTAGTCACCACAGTCCCTTCTGGCCTGTCCTGTCCTGTCCCGTCCTGTCTTATTCTGTTTGCTTTGTTCTCTTCTGTCAGCACTACGTATAGAGGAAATGGTTGAGGCAGGACTGGTGTTACCTTGACAAAGTTATTTAGAGGACAAAGAAAGAAGGTACAGTTAAGGCTCCATAAGAAAACTAATTATGAACTGCCTGGGAATGTTTCATCAAGATTTGGGGCTGGCTAAGGAAAATTAAATGCACTGTTTACATTTCTTTTTTTCCAAGATTAGAATTTTTTTTACATAAATTCAAAGTTGACTCAGTGAACTAATGATACAAGCACAGATGTTTTTCTTTTTAAAAAAAGGTGTGCTGGTAGGTATGAATAGTTAATGCAGAAATGTTATCTTAAACAAATCCACATCTGAGGTTAGGCAGTAACTCATTCAGTGTCATACAAAAATGTATTTTTATTGAATATAACATATGGCATAGTGATGTACAATGCCCTACTGCAACCTGAACCCAGCCCTGGAGGATTTATGCATTTGACCGAATGCCATTCCTGTAAAAAGGACAAATTAGAGATGGAAAAGACAGAAAGACGGAGGAAGACGGAGAAAGTCATTCGGACTGTGGGGGAATTGTGATAATGTATCCTGGATCTGAATAAGTAAACAAAACAAATATTCTCCATCT